TTCACATGTGAAAGCATTTCAAGTCAAATTAGACCTGCTCATTAACCAAGTAAAGGAGGAAAACTTCTGCCATCTCCCCACAACTCAAAACCTGTCTGCAGAAAAACCAGCAGTTGCATTCCCAAACAAAACATGTATGGATGTACTAGAAATGTTGCAAAAGGAGTTTCAAATTAGATTTAAAGAGCTTCGTCTCCATGAGCAGGACATAGAGGTTTTCCGGAACCCATTTTCTGTTGACATTGAAACTGTTGATCCGATTTACCAAATGGAATTGGCCGAACTACAGACTTGTGACTCGCTGAAAGATGCATTCAAATCAAGCAGCCTTACTAATTTCTATGCATCTCTCCCCTCAGAGACATATCATAATCTCAGGAACCATGCACTCCAAATTGCAACCATCTTTGGCAGCACCTATGTCTGTGAGCAGACTTTTTCCCGAATGAAACATCTGAAATCTCCAATCGGATCCAGACTAGCTGATGAACACTGGCATCACTTGCTACGAATAGCAGTGACAAATATGGAACCTAACATTGGCCATCTCATTAGCCAAAAGCAGGCCCATAGTTCACATTGAAATATTTGTTTTTGTTGCTTACAATTGTTCTTCATTTTAAATATTACATTCTTTTTCCTGTTTTTTTGTGCACTACTACAAATAAAATATATGCAGTGTGCATAGGAATTGGTTCATTTTTTCCCAAACTGTAGTCCGGCCTCCGACAGTGTCTGAGGGACAGTGAACCGGCCCCCTGTTTAAAAAGTTTGACGACCCCTGCTGTAACTGATCTTAATGTTACGTTTTACGTTGCTGTGACTCCTGTTGTTGTTTGTTACGTACCTGAAGCCTTATGAGCTCTAAGCAGGAAGTACTTTTTTAGTTATTGTTCTGGAATAAGCTTGAGTGAAAACTTAATCCCCCAGCAAGGACCTGTTCAGCACGAGAGCTGTTTTCTTCTTCCTGGAGTCCTAGAGCAGCACTTACATCGCATCTTTTCATTATGTGATTCAAAACATAGTTAATGTGTGTTCCTTGTGGATCTCGATGTTACTATGCTTTTCTGCTCACCCTTGCAAGGACTTCAGTATGAAGCCTTTCTGGGTCTGCCTTTGGAAGCCACTATAGTAGAAGACTGGCTCTATCTTCGGTGTTTTTCAGATGGGAGACTTGGGTGGTGTCATCAAAAGAACCCAAGTAGTTCCCTGTCTCTGCTTCCCTACAGTGTATCAGTTTTCATGCCAAGTTTAAGTTGAGGAGAAACTTTGGAACCACCGATGAAGACTGAGCTCTGTAATTTTGGTGCTTCCCCTTCATGTGACTTTTCCTTTTTGTTTTCCAGTATGAAATATTTTGTACTGGTTTGGGTTACTGACCTGTTTGATCTAAATAGAACAAGTTCAGTCACAGTCAAAACCTAAACCGTGGTTGAACATGGGTCTCACTAGTTATAAACAGTCATCCTTCCCCGTTATGAAAGCCTCAGAATCGTTAGTCGCAAGCAAAGAAGATATCTGCTACCAGTTTTAGAGAAATTGGTACAATATCTCCTTAAATGACTCATTGGCAGGGTTGTGTGCGTTTTGTTCAGACACGGAGAAAGCAAAACTGAGGGATGAGTTTGGCAGGCAACAGTATGGGTTGGGAGGGGGGACCCTGAGACAGGCACAGGACTTGGAAGTTAGGGTGTGAAAGCTCAGCTGAAGCTACTATTTCAGTACTGAGCTAGAGAGTTGATGAGAAATCCACGATGCTTGAGTTATACCAGTAATACTTTCATTTTCCTTAAATAACAGACCAAAACTGAAATAAAAATTGCATCCAGTTAGAACATCTTCCAGAACATTTAGGCTGGAGTCTTTGTTTCACTGTGAATGGCTGAACACATTTTAATGAAAGATGTGACTTTAAGGAGCTAATAGTTCAGTCCAAATTTCCCCTAGCCACAACAGGAAGGAATTAGACTGAAAGAGAAGCAAGCAGTCTAAATGACGGAAGCAGCAGTTTAATTGTTAGGGGAGGAACAAGAAGTACAGCAGGAGAAATGGGTTACAACAAAGCAGTCTAAAACCCACTTGGGATGGAGATGGAAAAGATACAAAGGAAAGTAAATTTTGAGGGGAGAGAAGGATCAAGAAAACTAGCATTGCTCTGAAAAAAAAAGATTAGGTGCAAGCTTAATTGGAATATGGTTGTGGAGACTTGAGCTCATGACTTTAGCAAGCAGAGATTTGAGTGTGTGAAAATTCAAGTAAATTACAGACAAGGAATATACATGTATAGGAGTGGAATTATTTCCTGCCTTGATTTTCAAAATACAAGTGACCAAGGATGACAAGGATAAGTATGTAAATGCAGTAGTGGAAGATCAAAGAAACTGTAAGCAACAGAGGAAGAAAATGGCAAACAATACTGCCATTGGAGCCCTGGCCTGACTAGTCCCCTTTTGCTGGGAACATTACTTCTCAGGTTCCAGCATTAATCTTACTAATAATGAAAATGCCAGGGCAGAATAGGAAGAGAATATTTTGATGACTAAGCAGTTTTCAGATTTATTGGGGCTAAGGAAACTGTTTAAGTAGATGGGTAACTGGTTGAAACGGAGAGAGTTTTGTCAGGATTCCTCAAGGGCAGGTGTCAGTGACCGCAAAAGGGATTGGCTTCATTCTCCAGGTATGTGGCAGTCACCTTGTTGGTGACAAGCCCATGTAAACACTTGCAGTCCTGTTTAACAATCAATATCAAGATTTATTAAGAGCAAACTATGTTAGACTACCCATGTTTCTTTTTATGGGAGTAAACACTAAACAGTGTAACACTATCTGAGAACAGTAGCTGTTCTATATGCTTATTTTATGGGAGTTTGAATGTGTTTTAGCATGAGTACTGTAAGGAAGCTAGTGTAGTGATATCTATGGCAAGTTCTCTGCCTAAATTGTACTTAGAGCTAGTTACACTAAAGGTACATTGAATGCAGCTCTCCAAGGATGCCCCTTGGCTTTGTACCATCCAGGACTTTCTCTCATCATCTGGATGAAAGAATGAATAGATAGTACACTTATTAAAGATCAAGGTAGCATGAATTATAAAATTTAGAAGAGGATTAGAATCCAAATAGATTAAGACATTGAAATAATTTTTTTGCAGTTCAGTCAAGACATGTGCAAAGGATTGCATTTACTGATTACAGTAATCAGATGCGCAAATACATGGCGAACAGGCAGACGTTTCTCAAAAGTATCTTGAAATACAAGGGATTAAAAATTAAATGAAAGTTAGTGTCAGCACTGCAGAAAAGCAAACATCATACAACTTTCTATAAGCACAAGTTGTGTATAAGACATGAAGTAATTCTTTTCTGGCACTGGAAGGCCTCAAATGGTAAACCGTGAAGTTTGGGGTATTGAAGTTTCAGAAGAACAATGGTAACAAAGCTGATGGGAATTTTCCCTCTGTTCCTCATCCAAGAAGTCCTAGGAAAGTTGATGCATTAAGGTGCATGGAAGAGAATAGAGTTTGCTCAGTTTAGGAAAGATTAAGTGAAGTTATGGTATGTATTTGAAGATTAACCTTGCTGCAAGGCAAGATGTTATCCTAATTCAGGAGATAAAGTAGTAATGGATTTTCATCCAGCCTAGATTCGTGTGCTGTTATTTCAGGAAAAATTTAATCTGGTTACTGTGACCCAAAGGTCAGTAACATGAACTGGGAAGGCTGTGTTCAAAATGTTTCACTATGTTTCCTGAATCAGAACTGCTACTGCTGCTTTGTTTAATGTAGTCTCATAGGAGGAAAAGTGCATTGATTTCTAGGAAAAACAAAAATCTAAATAATGTAACAGTTTAGGAAGGAATGATTTTTATATCCTTTTGTTTCTTCATTTCAACTTCTGTCATAAACCTGTAAAATTTTCCAAGCTAGGAAATTATTAAAATGACAAGATATTTATAGCCTTTATGGAGAAAGGAATGGATATAGTCACTCTTCTGGGTGTCTGAAAATATAAACAGAATAGATGCTTTCTTTTTTTGCCATTATTGTTGTGTAAATGCCTAAGAGTCTGCTATTCTCAAACTCATTGTGGTCAGTCATTAATTCATAAGTTACAATCATATGCATAAAGTACTAGGATGTTATATGTTATGTAGTGTTTGTAGATTCTTTTGGCCATTGCCATCTTATTTCATACATACAAAAGTTTAGCTAACAATTTGAGAAATGTAAAATATTTGCATTTGAATATGCTTTTCTAAATTTAAAAGTGATAATGAAAGTGTAAAACTTGAAACCTTACTTGGAATGTACTTAAACTTTTGATCTTAAAATGCTCTGCTTTGCGGGCGAACCAGTGAAACTCTTCTATCCTCAATAATTTGATCCTAGCTAACTTTACAATGAGCATTTCAGCTACTATTTCAGCTACTGATACCAATTTCTTTCTCCTTTTTTAGGTGGCAGTGGCGACAACGAATCCGATTGTATCTTGAAGGAACTGGCATTAACCCTACCCCTGTAGATCTGCATGAACAGCAGCTAAGCCAGGAGCAGTACAGCAGGGCTCATATAAATGAAAGATTGCAAGATCAAAGTAGGTTGAAGTTTGTGACAAGAATGTAACCACTTTGCCATAACAACTTAGGAAATCAGGATTTATAAGAATACAGGAACATTTGGAGTCTAGTTGCTACCATACATGGCTGATACAGATACAAATGTTTGAGAAGTGAGGGAGAAATGACTCTTAGACTATAAGACTTTGTTTTTTAAGGGAATACCTTTAGGTTTTTATGTGCTGCTTCTGCACTGTACATTTAGAATTATTTTTTAGTTTTATCAACTTATAAACTTTTTCCCTCAAATATGGTACCTATTGGAAAAATACTTAAGTTTTTTTAAATGGTGTCTTAGTGTTGCTATGGAGATACTGGGTTACTATGTAAACTGTTTACCACACAGTTAGATGTTTTTGACTAAATTGTGTATGTGCATGAGCTCTTTTGCTGAATTTGAGATAGGTTTTCTTCAACTGTGAGGCCTGCCTGCAAGTGGCAATACACACATAGATAATTGTAGAAGCAGATCATGCTGTTAAATTTCTGTTGTTGAAGGATGGGAAGTCTCAACAAGGAAATGGTACTGCTTAAATACTGCATAAATAGCTTGTAGAATTTATTCATACATTGAAACAAATTATTCTAACCTCAAGAGGAGGATTGAATAGGATTAGAGTGTTTCATAAATGAAGATTTCTTCCTGGGTAATTCCTAAATAATAAAACACTTTCCGTTGTTTTATTTATGATAGACTGAAGATAAGTTTCTGTCTTTGTTTCTGTTCCTGGATTTCCCCACTGAAAAGGCCTTATTCAATGTGAATGTATCTTAAGCCCCATTAATTAGAAGTTAGTCTGTGGTGTGCAATGTAACTCTTGGAAATTTACCCCAAACTTCTGTTAAGTCACTGTCAGTGAACTTCACTAAGCTAGAGGAGTGACCATTGACAGAAGAGGAGTTCAACCTGTCTGGTTAACCACAAGTTTGAGGAAAAACAATGTTTGAAAACATGTTATTGTTTTACTGGCCTTGGTTCAAATACTTGTGGTCTCTGGTAAAGGGCTGTGACTAGATACAGAAGGAATTGGTGGAAAAAAAAATGAGTCCTTGAGGACAACTGAACACAGAGAATCAAGGTCTAGAATGTGGTCCCAGGCAGCAGACTACATTCTCCAGAGAGTGATGATAGTTTTTGAAAACATGAGTTTTGGAGTCATGATTTGAAACGGGGTGTATTCAATACCTGCAGGAGCTGAGATTTCTGGTCCTCATCTTTTGCCAGTGAGAGCACTCAATGAAGTCTTCATTGGGGAATCTCCGTCATCCAGGTACGTTTAATTGCTAACTATGGCAGCAAGGCAGAATTCATCTTATATGACATTGCAATGGGCAATTGGTAACGGGAAGTCTTTTCTGTGAGTTTTTTTACCTTAGTCATTATGTTGCTGTTGGTTTCCAAGTGTGTATTCAAAAATTATTTGGTGCAGTGATAAAAATTGGTGTTTTTCCCTCTTCCTGTCTGGCCATTCTTCATTTCATAATTCCTGCCTGCTTTTTTTCTTTGTTTTACTAATTTCCTGGCCAATTCTTACATAATCAGATACCTTCAGTTGCTCTCTCTATAGTGGATTAAAGATTTCAGTGATTTTGCTGTCTGTCTATCTGTCAAAGGCTTCTTGTCCTGCATCTTTTCCTAAATATCTCATAGTAAACTTAACATGACCAAGCTGAAATTTCTGCTTTCCTCCTTTCTGTCATTAGAGGCAGAGGTAACGGCATCCCTTTGGCTGAACATATGAAAATGTCTAACACTTCCTTTCTTGTTTTAAGAAACCAGTTTATATGAAATCCTGGTATTGCAGACTCCAAAATATCTTTGACTGTCCTTTCTGTCCTGAAAATAATGGAATCATTGCTAATCAAGCAATACAAAGTATGTGGGGAATGTGGCTGGGGCTGTGGGAAAGGAGTTAAAGCATAATCCTTAGTCAGAAGTTTTGGCCAAATTTTATTTGTAATTTTTTAAAAAAATCCCTTTCCCTTTTACTCTGTGTCTGTGGGTTGTTTTATTTATTTATTTATTTTTAAGCCTTGAGAGTGTAACTTCTTGTGTTTGTACAGTGCCTGGGACGCTGTAGTTGCTGCTGGAAAGAGTATAAATGTTTCATGAGTGCTTTATCTTCCATCTGGACTGCAGCCTCAGACTGGCAGAAAGAATTAGTCTCAAACAGATACAAGTTTTGCTTTCTCTTAAGTCAAACCTAATTTTATCAAGATGCTACAAAAAATTTCTCTAACGTATAGTGCTGGAGGAAGACAAAGCTACTCCCCAACACTTTACAATAACCCTCTATTGCCAGAAGTACATTGTGCTCTTTGGTTCTGCTAGATTTGACAAGCATTGAGGAACACAGTACCTGTAGGAGCAAATTTCTGGTAGCAAAAGTTGTGTTTAATAATAACCCTAGGTGCTTCAAAGGGCTTTTTCTGCATGACAGTTGAGAAAGCAAGGAAAGAAAATCGTATCTAGTTTGAAAAGACTGCCTTAAACTGAATCAAGCTGTGCATCTGTGCTCCTATTTTGTTTCTATTTTTTTCATCTTTTCGTATTTTCAAGAACATGCATGCATATTGCTTGGTCACAAACAGTCTAAACCATTTGATACCAAATATTCAAGAAATACATTCTTTCCAGTCTATCCAGAGTGAAACTTTCATCAGAGCAATTCAGTAAGCTTCTTTTACTAAGAAGGGAGGGACTCAATCATGCTGAACACTGAATGTGTTTTTATGAAAGGGCCTCTATTAATCTCAATACTATATTGTATTGTTGGATTAGACATTATAAATGTCAACAGTTGCAGTTCATAAGTAAATGCTGAGATGTACTGAAACTGTATGGAAAGAGATGTTCTGGTTGGCATAGGCTGCACATTAGTAAGAAATTGCATGAGATACAAATAATACCATACAAAATGATGGTGGTTGTCCCTGAAGACTTACTACACTGAGTTTTAAGAAGAATTTGCCCTGGAGAGAAACTAAGTCAAGCTAAACTGTTCATGAAGAATCACAGTGAATTTTTAATGACTGAAGTGATCAAGAATTCAGCTTGAAGCCATGCTATTGTTCACTGATGTTGGAATTTTTACCTCTTAGTGTTTCCTGATGTAATTTATAAGACCCAATCACAGCCTAAGCACAGTTTATGTGGTAGTTCAACAATTATGCAAGGAAGGTAATGTATTTGTAGTTTCATTTGTAAGTCCAGCAAACCCTTCTTAAATACAAAGTTATTGCTGGATGAACTGCAGAGTTTATTGCAGAAAATTTAATGCGAAAAGTGGCTGCAGAAAAACTGCTTAAAAGTTCCTGCTGCAAATTATAAAAACTGCCATGAAACAGTGAATCAAAAGTGGCTGACAAATCAGACTTACACTGTACAAAGCCTGTGAAATTGTCATCCGTATTTGAAACTGGCCCCTCTAAATTTTTATGTGCCTGATAAGGCTGTGTGTTCTGTCTCATTCAGGGAGAACTTTAAGTCCTGCAAACCCAGTTTTAAATTCTCGCTTCATAGGGCCTCCTATTATGAGATATCAGTTGATGATGGTCCATGGGAAAAACAGAAGAGTTCAGGGCTTAATGTATGCACTGGAACAGGATCAAAAGCATGGTAAGTTCATTTCACTGCTTTGACAGAAAAGATTGTTTCAGATAAATTAGCCTTTGAATCTGTTTTGGTTAAGTTTCTTACCTATCTTGAGGCCCTCTCGGGACATGGTCAGTCAGTGCATGGCTCAGCTATGTCCAGACATTGTCAGTGTGGTTCAAAGCTGCCTCGGGTGTTTGAGAAGAGCAGAGCACTTGCAAGGGCAAAGAGGAGAGGGAGGAGGAGGAGCTGAGGGATGATGACAAACTTGCCTTAGCTGTAACTTGGTCAGGTGAAAGAAGTTGGATGCTCTATATAGAGATGACATGCTCTGTATAGAGGTGACTGGTGCTCTGGCTTGCAGAGCTTGTAAAGGGGTTTCCTTGAACGACTCTTGCTGGCTAAAACAAAAATATTTAGATGTAGCAGTTTGGAAAACTTATAAAATTTCAACTCTAAGTAGAATGAGCTAACACGTACTTGGAAGCTGTCAGCATTATTCTCTGGCACATGTATTGGCCATTCTCCTTCCCAACCCTCTTTTAAACTTAATTGAAAAGGCAGTTTCTTTGCAAAAGTACTTCCCTAAAATAAAGGGCATGTCTAAGTGGAATTATACTAGCCTAATCAAAGGGTTAATGTTCTTAACTTCAATTTAAACTACACCACTGCGTGTAGATATAAAACTGTAAATTTGAGATGTGTGCAGTATACAGTGATAGCCTATTTCATTTGGAAATCTGACTGTTTATGGTTTAAAGTTGTACAACAGGATCCTGGATTTATGTGGCAGACTAACAGGGACTAAAACTGAAGTTCTTGCTAAAATACAAAAATGAATATTCATGCTGTCACTATGGTCACTGGGTTTTAGTTTTCATTGTGCTTCAGAATCTTGTATTCAATGTGCAGAAGTTGGTTGTGGAAGCTGCCAAGGATGAAACTGGCACATTGCTGGGGCAGCTTTCCTTGTGTTCAGTACCTTGGGAACGCATCACCTTAGCCTAGAGATGTTCCTGTGCATTTTAGCTGTTCCTTATGCATTCTCTGCTGAGCAAGCCCAGAAGCAGGGACCAAATCTCCCAGGACTGTGCATCTTCAGTGCCACAGGCCTGTTTATTGCTGACTTCTCTAAGGTTACTTTGTGACTGATACGTTATGGTGCACTGAGCACCCAGCCTCAGAAAGATGTCCTTCCTCAGACTGTGATTGAGGGAGTTCTCTTGGGAGTTCAGGCCATCTCAGCCCGAGAGGAATTTAAATCCTCCAAATGCTTCTTTGGCATAAAAAGGCATAAAAAGCAGCGAGTTAGCAAAATACAACTTGGGATTCTACATCTCAGTTTCTTCTGAGCATCCACTTGAGCTTGCAGGTAGTCAAGGACTATAAGAGAGGATCAACTTTAGACAATAATCCTTGGCATTTTCTGTAGTCTGCTAGGTGTGTGGTGGTCATCTGTTGTGGTCTAATGGTAGTTACTGTCATCCCAGAAGTACCAAATGCAAGATTGTAGGTTCCACTGAGAACTGGGCAGCTGAGGTTTTTAGTGCTGTGCAAGTGTGTGGTTGGCACCTAAATTCATTTTGAACTTGGGCATAGGAAGTGACTGTTCTATACTGATATTTAGACATGGTTCACACTGAGGTTTCTTGCTGACTTGCCATGTACCCAAATGTGGCAAAACCAAAAAGCGTCAAAACCAAAAAGCATCTAAGTGTTTTCTATTGATATTGTAATTCTTGCACAATTCAAGCACACATCCTATGGTACACTTATACTGACAAAGTATCATAAGATTTGTAAAGAGGTGTGTGGAGTCCAGTAAGTTAGAAATAACACAAGGAATTAATTTGCAGGAGGTGGACTGAAGGGATAAAAAACACATATAACCTGTACAACTGTTAGATTTATTTATTTTTATTTTTTCTACATGTAGACTTAAATGATAAATTGTTTGGGTTTTAAGGCAGGAGAATTATTAATAGGGAGACTGCATCCCTATTGTGCCCTACTTTCCTGAAAATTTCACTTAATGGATTACTAAGATTTACCAAACCACAGAGAGATTTGCAACCCAGTAGTTATTTTATTGTATTTTCTGATATCAGTGCCCACACTTGATAATACTCCTTTATTATCAGTCCTTCTGGAGTGAAATCTAATTCTTACTTGTATGGAAGTGTTTTTCCTCAAATTGTATTGCTTAGCAACCTTTTATTTCTCTGTTTAGGTCCTATAATATTAACAAGGTAGCAAATCAAGCTGTTGAAGAGATCCTTAAGATCGGTGAGTGAACCATGTGGCACTACTGGCTAAGTATATCTGAAGATACTCCTATCTAATTGGGGCTCTCTTTCTTGGCTCAACAGCTGAAAAGCATGGAGGTTTGAATCTGCCATTGAATGCAGAACTAGTGCAAAAAGGTTAGTGAAAATGATGATTTTCTTTAAACTATAAGAAGTTCAGCCAGTTAATTTTGTAATTAATTTGTGTGAACTCTAATACTAAACACTATTTTAGTACTCCTGCACTATTAACTTTTCTTAAAAACAATATTAAGCTTTGTGGAAAAATGTTTTTAATATGTATTTATATATTTATATGCATATATGTGCACATACACACATTATATATGAAGGCTATTTAACAGCTGGTAAGGCTCAGTATTACCTCTAGGTAGGGAAAACTCTCCTTTCCTGAAGGAATGGATATTTTTGAGAGTAATTTTATCTGGGAAAAACTAATGGCTGATTTTTCTACTTACAGTAACAAATTATTACAATGACTCCCTGCTCTATAGTCCAGAAGAACCAAAGATGCTTTTCAGTATTCGAGAACCTATTGTGAACAGAGTTTTCTCAAGTAGTCGGCAGTGTGGCTTTTCTTCAAAGTAAGTGTTGGCTGCAGCAATTACTGAATCGTTATTTCATTCTGTATATTTATTGAAATGTGAGTAACCTAGGAGTTTCACTTGACATCTTTCAACTCCCAGCTTGTGTTGTAAGGAGCTTGAGCATTACTTTCATAGTAACAAGAAGAGAGTGCATGTAAGTTGTGCTATGCCCTTTTTTTGGTGTTTGATTCGTGCACAATCCTACAGGATAAAAGCGCTGTGACCACTTTTGTGTGTGTGCTGTCCCCCATCCTCTGTAAGACACACATTGACAAAGTGGGCTAAATTCAGCCAAGAGCCACCAAGGTGATTGGGGGCTGGAATATATGCTATATAAGGGAGAAGCTCCAAGGGATCTAGTTTTGTTTAGCCTGGAGAAGAGAAAGCTAAGCAGGGGAAATGTAACAGCTATTTTCTCATACCTAATGGACAGTTACAGATGAGATTGAGTTAGATGCCTTTCAGATGCACACAGCAAAACAACAGGGAGCAACAGCCATGACTTGTAGGATTTAAAATTCTGACCAAATATAAGGAAAAAAGTTTTCAGAATGAGAAGTCAGACACAGGCGTAGGCTGCCTAGAGATTGTTGTGTCTCCGGCCATGGAGATATTCAAAACCTTGACTGGGCACCCCTATGCAACCTGATCTCTCTTTGAAGTAAGACCTGCTTTGAGTAGAAGATTGGACTAGGTGTCCCTTGTAATCGAAACTATTATATAATTTAGTAATTCTAATTTGGGGTACTTTTTATGGAATTTGCCGTAAGTAAATATGAACACTGTAGGTGCAGTTATTCTGAAAGTTAACTTAAGAACAGTATGATGTTTCAATATTAACCAGCTGTGAGATGTGACTCAGGTCAATACAAATCTCTAAATTTTGAAATGTTACTTAAATGTACAACTTCTCAAAGGTTGTCCTTTATTTCTTCAGAAAGGGTTATTTCTGTAACCTGCAAGATGGCAGTTTTGACCAAGATATCTGAGAT